GCCACCATTGCCAGCCCCCACTCTTAACTCTACCATACCCTCTCCCCAAACTCACCAGCCTCCTCGCCCTCTAGGCCTTGCTTGCAACTACCCACCCCAATTCACTTGATGCTCTAAAGACCGGACACACTGCTGTGAAGTAATGTGGCTCATTCCCACTTGGTCTCAGGTCTAGCATGGCCAGCACAGGCCCAGGAAGGCCTCCCTGGCTGGCCCACGGCCGCCTGAGCAGACCCCTGTCTGTACGCTCACACATGCTGTGCTTCTCCCCGATGTAACTGGTTAGCACGCCTGTCTGCATTATCTACCATGTTACCATGTGATGGTTGGACTGGCAGGTGCCACATCACTGGTTGAGTGGATGGATGGATGCTTAGAGGACTGTGTTGCTTTTCCCCAGTGCCCTTGACAGGCAGATGAGGGGGGGAAATCACTACAGAGGAAGGACTGAGCAAGATCCGTCCTCAGCCTTCCACCACCAAGTGCTTCAGCTATCTGGCAAGCAGATGGGTGTTTGGGCCTGCAGCAAACTTGCAAATTACCAGGCTGGCAGTCCCCGTCCCAAGAACACTCCCAAAGTATCTGGAGTATGACAAGTGGCATGTCAGAGACTACCTAGTGAGTTTTCCCTCTAACCAGTGCCATGAAAGGAAGTGACCCAGCCAACATGCCCCCATCCAGCAGTCACCCCGCCCCAGACGCATCAACATTCCTCCCTTATATGGACACATGGGCATGACCTCTGCAATGCCTCACAGGAGGAAGCTGGCTCTCAGGCACATGGCTCCACCGAACAACAAGCGCCTGCAGGCTGACTAGCTCTCATTATTTGCCTGGGTAGAAAGTCTCCTCTCCTCTGACCGAAGCAATCTCGAACACAGCTCCAACACTCAGCCTCTTTCCTTCCATGTGGTCAATAAACAAGGGCCTCATATTTTTCACAAAAAGACACATCAAAGAACTGTGACAGGACACCTTCCCGGAAACACCTGCCTGTCCACAATATCATGTGAGTGAATGACTCAGGGCACAGAGGTCAGTCGGGCTCTGGGAAGGCAGCAGCCTGCTCACCATCTCTGCATACCTAAGCCCAGCTCAGGGAAGACAGAGCAGAGCTACTGCTAAATAAGCAGGTCGTGATCTGCACTCATTTCAGCCTCAATCAAACTTTCAATTACCCAGGGAGCATCATTCCTTCCTTAAGCCCATGCCCAGGGCAGGGCACAGGTAGGTTAACAATCTGGACATGATCCTTTTCTTTAAAGGGGCCCATGTGAGACCATGAGCAGGCCGGAGAGATGGTCCACCCAAGCTAGGGCTGGACCCTTGCATCACTGGGCCTGCCAGGTTCTGCAGGTAAACCTCAAGATCCTGAGTCTCACATGAACCCCCTTTCATACAAAGGAAACCAGAGACAGAGAAGACTCAGCACCTGAGTCTCCACAGACAAGCTCCAGACCTATAGCCAGACACCCTTTAGGGGAGCCTGATAGCTAGTGGGTGGAACTGCCCGCAGACAGAGGGGTGCTGGGAAGTAGTCCTCCGCCGACAGAGGCTGTGCTCAAATTAGCAACTGGAGAAAAGCCACAGTGACATGAGTTTCCTACGTGCACTTCTATTGCCAATCTAAAAATACCAGCCAGAGCACCCTGTCTGGAATAATCAACACCCAACAAACAGGGTTTGGTGCTATGGCAGCCAGAACTAGGCCAAATAAAACATGCGGCATGAGAGACACCTGGATAAAGCTAGTCACTCTGATACTAAGGCGTCACTAACTCTCAAACTCTAGTCTCCTTGCCTTTTGGTTTTGTTTGGTTAGTTTTAGGAGACAAGGTTTCACAAAGCTCAAGCTGATCTCAAACTCATCAGCAACCACGGCCTTCGACTCTTGTTACTCCACTGCACCTCCAGGGCTGGGGTTGTGGGCACGAAACACACACCTCTGCGTGGGAGGGGACGGCACACCAGCTTCACCAACACAGCAGTCACCACTCCTCCTCCTGCCTGCTTGCCTTTGTGACGGGGACAAGATTCACCTACCCCTGAGAGGGCGTGGTGGCGCACACCTTTAACCCCAGCTCTCGGGAGGCAGAGGCAGGCGGATCTCTGAGTTTGAGGCCAGCCTGGTCTATAGATCAAGTTCCAAAACAGAGGGCTACACAGAAACCCTGTCTTGAAAAAAACAAAAACCAATCTCCTTCACACGTTTCTGTGGAATCCTAACTTAGCAGGTTCACACCTGATCTTCCTGGCTCCTGGTACTCAGGATCCACAGGGATCCAAGCAGAGCACAGGTGAATGAAGGCAATGAGACACTCGGGCTTGAGTTTCCCTAAAGCAGGCCCACTTGGGACTCCCGTATCCTGCTATTCGAATTTCTCACAGGGCTTGGCTGAGAAGGGGCCCAACTCACCTTCAAGGAAGCTGGCACTCTCTTGGATGTAGGCCCCCAGCTGCTCAAAAATGCCATTGATCTTTTTCTTGGCAGTAACGAAGTGCTTGAGTGGGGAAGCATTCACCTCAGCCATGTGTCGCTTATCCTTCTTGACGGTGACGATGGAGTTGCATCGAGAGAAGAGCAGGGACATCTCGCTGCGAGAGAACCAAGACTGTATGAACACAGGCATCCTCGTGTTTGGCCATGCTGCTGGGATACAGAGGTGGGAAGAGAGCTGGGACCACCAAGAACATGGGGTGCTCCGGACTCTCTCAAGGGAAGCAAGGTCCCAACATCGTTAGCAGGAAGGGCGTTCTCGGTTCACTTGGGCCCATCTCTGTGTCACACTGTGTGGGTTCACAATGCCTGGTTGCAGAGCCCCGAGTTCAGGCCTGGTGCCGGCAACCCCTGCCTTGCCTGTTCAACGCTGACTCAGAGAGAGGAGGAATCTTGGGATGACACAATCACACACACAGGAATCCCCAGGTGGAAAAGTGGTAGAAACTGGACCTATCTCCTCAACACCATCACCCTAAAAGATCACAGACAGTGAAAGCAAAGTGCATTCAAGGTCAGGGTTACCCACACCCTTCCAGGGCTACTTTACGGTCCAGGAACACAGTGGTCCTCATTCCTAAAGGGGCTTGATAGTGTGCTTACTTACAGAGTAGAGACAAGGACAAGTAATCTTCAAGTGACAGAGATCTACTTCTAAAACTTGGGAGCAGGAGACAAGATCAGGAGTTCAAGGCCGGCTATGACTGCACGGTGAGTTTAAGGTCAGTCTGGGCTACAGAAACCTTGTCTCAAATAAACAAATAAATGACAACAGCAGACTGTCAGTTTCTCCTATGACAGCATATGACAGAAGCCTACTTGGAAATGAAAGGTAAAACCCTGGGCATTTTGCTCTCCGCTAGTCTATCTTGCTCGTCTTTTTTTCAGTTTCATACATCTCCACAGAAGCCACGACACTTAAATCCAGAGTCCTAGAGATCCTTGGTCAAAGGTCAAGTGTCTCCCAGGTGTTGTTGGCCCCCAAGTGGAGCCCTGGAAGGTCCTACTTAGAGTTCCAACCATGGAGAGAGCTATTTCACCAGCAAAGCCCGCAGATCCTGGGACATGGAAGGAAAAGGCCCTCCCAGGATGAGGGAAACATGCAGCTGTGTGCAGCTGTGTGGATCTGGTCCTGTCATTCTGATGGCCACCCTCCCGATGGTGTCTGCCATCAAGCCTCTACCCCAACAGCCCTTGTTCATGAGTGTGCACACAAGATAACCCAACAATGTGTCAACAGCTGCAACACAAGGTCCTGAGCAGGAAGAACAGCAGAAAAAGGCACAAGAAGCCTGAGTGCTAAAACCGAGTCTTTGAGAAAGGCCACCTTCACGGTGGGCAAAAAGACAGGTCCAGAGACGGGGACGAACCTGTGTAGCTCAAATCAACAAACCTGTTTGCATGTGACAAATGTAGGGCCCAGGGGAAGGAAGGGAGCACACTGCCATTTCCAACCTCCCCCTTCTTTCTTCAGGGTGTGTGGTGGTGTGTGATGATGGTAGTGGTGGTGATGGTAGTGACGGTGGTGGTACTGGTGGTGGTGAGATAGGTTCTCATGGAGGTCTTGAACTTCTCATTGCTCTCTCTCTCAAGTGCTACAATTATGGGAGTGCACCACCACACCCAGCTTCTGAGACAGACAGGCTTTCTCAACTAGGAAAGACAACAGAGCTCGGAGAATGGGCACTAGAAATAAAACAACTCACACAGCAAAGGAAGAGTGCCTTGAAGTCATGGGGTGGGCGGAACACAAGAACAAGAAAGGGAAAGAGGAGGAAAAGAGTGTAGGATGGGGTAAGGTTGCACAAGACAGAGATTCTGAAATCAACAGCAGAGTCCTTGGGTTCTTCCTGCATAAATCCATGCCAGTCATTTCACGTTGGAACCCTGGTTTCTCATATTCAACAAATAAGATACGGTGTGAATTGTAAGATGACTACAGATAATGACATGGGCAGCATGCTCAACACAGTCAGGGCTCAAAGGTAGACACACACCTCATGGTCTCCGCCAGTAATAAACTACAGCCAGATCACAAGACTCTCCCATGGCCACCCAGCAATCCAGCCTAGGATGCCGGGAGCAATGTTGGTGAGTAACCCTACCAACACATCTGTACTCCCCGACCCGCTGCCATGGAAATGGAGTAAACAGGTCAGCTGGAAAAGATAAGCAGTGCCCAGCCCACAACTGACTTGCTTATAGGAAGAAAGTTCCTTGATAGCCGCTGGGCTTTTAGAAGTGGGTGCTTCCAAGGTGCAGGCCATTGTCTTCAAGCCCAAACCATATAAACCAAGAGCTGTTAGTGTTCAGTAAATGCAAGACTCAAGGGCATGCACACTAGTAAAGCCAAGTGGCTGGAGGTTAAGGGCCTGCCGGGTGTTCAGCTGGTCAGGAGCTGCCCTGATCTCACACCTGCAGCTATGCGCGCTAGCCCTGCAGAAACCTACCACAGCTGGCTCCAAGCTTGAATTTCTCTGGCTCTGCTAATTCCCAGGCAGTGTCTGCATTTGACCTTGCTTTCTGTCGAGAAACCATTGTCCTTTTCCATTCATTTTGCATACTCTTACTTTCCTCCTAGAAAGTCACCCACACGCACAGGACACAACCTTACCAGATTTTTCATTTGAACTGCTTTTAAAATCACTTTCTCTACCTAGGTACTGAGCCTCTAGAAAGCCGGGCTTTGACAGCATAGCATAGTCCCCATCCCACCTTCCTCATCCACAACTGTGAGCGGCACAGGCTGTGTCAGTGAATACCACTGAGGGAAACAGCCTAAAACCTTCCACCCCTAAATACCCAAATCCACTTTTTCCTGAAAAGCAGTTTCTAGCTAAGTATTTGGCGCTCAGCCAGTCAAGAGAGATGAACAAAATTTTCACATTCTGAAATCTAATCCAAAGAGCAAACTGCACATATCCCTGTGCACAAAAGGACTAAATTTGTAAATATATACACTAAAGGCCCCAAAGAACCCCTGCTATCTGGGGCTTTTCCTGTCAGTGAGGTAGTGGGACGATGCTGAGTTCCTGTCCCTCTTCTGGAAAGCCCTGATAGGCCTCACCTTACCACAGGGCTCACTGCAGGCATGTGGGGCCTGTCCCCTAAGTACAGCTGGGCCAGAGGTCTGGTTCAACATCAGTTACACTAACTTAGTTACGCTAAATGGCACACCCTGAGTTTCTGTGACATCCTCAAAGTGCTTCGGATTTTGGGGCACTTCACAGCAGTATTTCCCAAAGAGTGATCTCCAGAACTCTAGCACCCAATGGTCCATGCAAAAAAAGTTCCACATGGACATCAATGTGTAAAACACTAGTACAGCCAAATCACTTCTGTGCACATGAATGTGGCAGAGGCCTGGGAGGGAAGGCAGACTTAAACACAGTGTCACTGCAACTGATCGGCACTGAGCAATTTAATCAATGATGACACTTTTTTTATGGAGTTTTTTTCAAGATTTATTCATTTATATATTCTATGTATAGAGATGCTTTGTCTTCGTGTACATCTGCACACGAGAAAGGGGGCATTAGATCTCTTGAGACTACAGTTATAGATGGTTGTGAGCCACCATGTGGGTGCTGGGACTCGAACTCAGGACCTCTGGAAGAACAGCCTGTGCTCTTAACCCCTGAGCTATCTCTCCAGCCCTAGTTTTTTGTTTTTCAAGACAGGGCTTCTCTGTGTAGCCCTGGCTGTCCTAGAACTCTCGCTGTAGACCAGGCTGGTCTTGAACTCAGAGATTCACCTGCCTCTGCCTCCAGAGTGCTGGAATTAAAGGCGTGCGCCACCACCTGCCAGCAGGAAGACACTTCTTAACAGCCTGGTGGTGCACAAGTGCATTCCTAGCACTTGGGAGGTGGAGGCAGGAGAATCACCAGTTCGAGGCTGGGAAGGAGAGATGGCTCAGCCATCAATAAAAGTTCTTGCTGCCACACCTAACAACCTAAATCCAATCCTTTGAACCCACACGGTAGAGGAAACAAATTCCCACAAGCTGTCCTCTGACCTCCACGCGTGCACTGGGACCCACATGCACACAAAATAAATAAATCTGGAAGAAAGAACAAGAAAAGAGCTTAAGGGCCTCAGTTAATCACGGCCAGCCTGCTCATGTGACCCTGCCTTTCTCAAAAGAAAGGAGGGGTAAGGTGAGAAGAAACTTCTAACAGGCTTTAAAATTCCTTAGAATTTTAAAATTCCTTAGATCACACTTTAGGGAAAGGTTCATTCATCTGACAGTCTTCTCCCACCCCCAGTAGTTGCAAGAGCACAGTAACAGCATATTAACTTAAGATCAGAAACAAGCCCAGTTCGGAACAGAAACCAGTATTAGCACTTGAAGGCCCTCAGAAGCTTTGCCTCGACCCAGGCTGTTAGTGGAGGAGCATTAGGTGTTTGCACAGCAGCACGAAATTCGGTGCAAGGTATTTGGATCCAGGTGTGGCCCTGGATCCACATCACCTCCTTACCCAGTTTTATGTACAGCAACTCCTAGCAGAGAAAATAAAATGGGTCCAGAGATGGTCTGCTGGCACAACTGGAACAGAGGAGAAGCTGAGAAATTGAAACAAAAGAGTATACAGGGTAACAGACAGAGCAGACTCTTAGAGCCATGATAAGGAGCCAAGCTCTGCCAAGCAGAGGCGGAGAAGAGCCAGCACAGGGAGGAACAACAAGGGAGAGAGACTAATTCTTCAGGGACCTCAGGAGATAGATCCTGGCCAAGTTTTGAACTGTCAATTAGTGAAATCCCATGGAAGCAGAAAGGAGAAACAGCTTCTTCCAACAGAAGCTGGAAGCCACCAGCTCTGTGTTCCAGGATCCCATCCAAGAGAATTGCCACCCCACAGCCCCCGGACAGTCTTTTGCTCTCAATGCAGATCCATGGGGCCCCAAACCACAGCTTCCACTTACTTTTTAGCTGGTAAGAGACCTTCACAGGGTGGGCATTGTGGACATGGTTGGAGTCAAAAAGATGAAAAGAACTTGAGGTCTCTTCTGTGCTGACTCAGGTCCAGGTTGGCTACTGATGGTGTTGACTCCACCTGTCCCAACTTTTGGAAAGCAAGAGAGCAGTCAATAGGCAACTAGGAAGAAGAACCTAAACATGTGCAAAACATGTCTAATTAGGTGTTAAAGCCAAACTAACTCATCCCTGAGGGAAGTTACTCACTGAGGTACTTCAGGAGCAGGTGAGGAAGTGTGGAGGGGGAGGGGAAGACGATGACAAGGGACACAAACACAGGCATGCACAAACACATTCTTAGCCACGTGCTAGTGCAAGTGTCAATGAGGTTCCCGAAAAGGAGGGAGCTGAACCAGGACAAGGCCTGGCCGTGACGACAGGGAAACTGTCAACTAGCAGGGATGTGGAAAGAAAGAGAAGGAGACCTGACTGAAAGCCAGTATCTCAGCTGCTATAAAGGAACCCCTTCCATTTCAGGTCTATGGAATAAACTTGGGCTTAGAGTACTTAGATGTATGCAGTCACGTGGCCAAGCTAAAACCAAGATACGCTAGCTATGACTCCAAAGCTCACTTGTGTTTTCCAACATAAGAGACAAAAAGGGACAATTCTGAAAGGAGGGAGAGATGATTGGAAAAGTAAACAAACAGGGTGGAGAGTGTTACAAGAGATGGAGGATGGCACTTTTGCCTTTCTGCATCCAAACAGCTATCTTTTTCAGTCTTTTGAGGCCTTCAGTGTGCTAGGTGCTAGGGTCAGTGACGGATCAGAATAGCTCCAACCCTCGAGGGTCTTAACGGTGCAATGAGAAGTCATACAGGGAAAAGGACCTCCGCCATAAATGGGGTGGGCAGGGAACTGGGTCCTGAAAACATGCTGGCAAAAAGAAAATAGAAAACTATTGGATGAAAACTGGGAAAGGGTCAGGGGTCAGGAATGTGACCACAGGGCCGGGAAGACCAGGGTGCGGGAGCTTCGAGGAGCCCACCTCCCAGCCCTGGCTCCTGCGGCCCGCCCCCTGCTCAGAGTCGAGGAGGGCACGGCGGCGAGGCCGGAGCAGGGGAACGTCCGTGTGACCCGAGCCTGAGCCCGAGCCCCAGGGGCCCCGGCGTCCCAGCGTCTTAAGCTGGACGGCTCAGGACTCTCCCGGCGGGGGCCTGCCGGTTCCACCACCCCGGCGCGCTCGCCCTCTCACCTTCACCGTCCCGGCCTCGAGGCGGCCATCACACCCACGACGTCACTAGCTGGCGCCACACCGAGAGAAGAGGGAGGGGAGGGGGCTGCGCTCGTCACTCGCCCCGCCGCACCCCAGATGAGCTGATGGCTTAGGAGCGCAGTTACTTCAACCCTACCACTCCTGTGCGACGGCGTCCAGAGGCTCCGCGCTCTAAAGGAAGTCTCCGCGTGCCTGGTAACCGTCCCGCGTCCTATGCAGATGACGTGTCGTTTGGGTGGGGTTCCCAATGCATCATGGGAGTTGTAGTTTAGATCGGTGCCAGGCAGGGCGGGGTAGGGCGGAGCCTCGAGCTGTCAAGCATGGGGGCTGGGAGGGGGGGAAGTGGGGACGACGACAAGGGTGCGGATTACAGGTCGGCGTGCGTTTTCATTTGTTGCTCCAGAACTTGACCCTGTAACACCTGCCAAGTTTGAAATCCAGACTTGAATTTCATAATCTGAGAGAAACGTCTTCAAAGGGAACAGACCGTTAGAGTGAAGTAATTGTCTTTCAGTTGCCTTTGAGGCAGTCAAAACAGCAGCCGCAATGCATCAGGCACCTACTAGGTGCCAGTCACTGAGCTGGGTATCTAACACACAATTTTTAAAATTTTCACAGTAGTTCCAGGACACTCAGGGCATGATTATCTGACCTCACATGTCACTCACTGACCCCTAATTTTGCGCCAGGAACTAGAATACAACCCACGAGCCCAAACTGGGAGGGCTCCAAGCCTGGGTTCTGTAACATCACCAACCAGCCACTTGTGGCTACCGAGGCCCTGAAATGCAGCTACTGCAAATTGAGAGATGCCCCAATGCTAAACATGAAGAAAAAAAATGCAAACTACCTCAGTAATATTTTTATATTGATAACATGTTGTTAAGGCTTTGGGTAAACTGGACTAAATGAAATACATTATCTTACTTAAATTCACATCTCTTTTTACTTCTAAAAGTATAGCTAATAGTGGAGGTCATAAAATGGCCCAGTGGGTAAAGATGGCCGCTACCAAGCCTGCCAACTCCAGTTCCATCACCAGGAACCCACATGGTGGAAGGAAAAAATCCACTCCTGAAAAGTTGTCCTCTGACCTCCACACAAGCACCATGGCATGGTGCATCCACCAACACACAATAAGGAAATTTGGCTGGAGCCTAGAGAGATGGCTTTTACAGAGGACCAGACACCCCCATGTCAGCTCACAACCATCTGTAACTACAATGCAGGGGATCCGACACCCTCTTCTCTCCTCCATGGGCACCAGGCACATGTGTGGTGCACTTTCATACGTGCAAGCAGGAACTCATACACATTAACTAAAAATAACAAACAAAATCCTTAAAAGCATATAATATGGCTCACTGAATATTTTAAATTACCCAAGTGGCCTGCATTTGTGGTACATACTACATTGCTTTTTTGTTTTTCTTTTTTTGAGGCAGGGCTGCCACTAGGTGGTCCAAACTAGCCTTGAACGTCCTGCCCCACTTCCCTAGGGCTAAGACTGTAGTCAATCACCACCACACCTAGTTCTCATGTTATGTTTTCTACTGATTGACTCTGCCCTACAGCCAGGGTAGAGTCATGCCACAAACAGCTTTAGAGGTAAGTCCGCACTCCAGTTATGAGTCTCCAGGGAGGTGAGTCAGGGGAAGCTGCTCTGTAGTCACTGCTCCCAGGGCAGCCTCCTGTCTGCAATGTCTGACTCTGGACTGGTCAAACCCAGCCCTTGCCTTAGGATCTGGTGCACACTCAAGTCTTAGCTGCACTGAGCGTCTCCTCCTCCATCGTCCCCAGCCTCCCTAGGGAATTCTCCGAGCACAGAATTGTGGACTCCGTTTCCTTTCCCTTTAGGCATTATCTTAACCCAAGACAGAGGCCAGGAAGACCTCACCTAAATTATCTCCTGTCCATTTCTCCTGTCCTGTAACCTCCCTGCAAGCTTTGACCTAGGCCCTAATCCCATCCTAGACAGCAGAAGGAACTTTTTAGTCCATTCCCAGGCTTCTAATTTTACCCTCCATCTGGGCTTCTCTGAACCAGAACTCCAAACCATGAGGCCTGCCTTTAACCTCTCAGTGACTAAGTTCCTCCAGTACTGCTGACTGCCGCTGGAAACGGGTCCAGGGAGAGCTGGGGCCCACCCGCAGGAGGCCTGCCTTCTGTCATTCTTTCCCATTCTGATTGACTTTATCATGGTGGATGTGAATTACATTTGTAACTAGAAAAATAATCACTATTAGTTAAAAACAACCCTAAACAGGACATGGCGATTCATGTCTGTGGTGATATATTATGTACCCTGAAAAACTTGCCTGAGGATCAGAGGACAGAGCCCAGCCACTAGATTAGACACAGAGGTCAGGCAGTGGTGGCACACACCCTTAATCCTATCACTTGGGAGGCAGATCCGTCTGGATCTCCATGAGTTCAAGGCCACACTGGAAACAGAGACAGGCACACACCTTTAATCCCTGGAAGTGATGTCTGGGCAGAAAAAGGTATATAAGGTATATATGTATATAAGGTATATATGAGGAAACAGGAACTCACTCTCTTTAGGACGAGGATTTCATAGAGGTTAAGAACTAGTAGCTGGGCGGTGGTGGCACATGCCTTTAATCCCAGCACTTGGGAGGCAGAGGCAGGAGGATTTCTGTGAGTTCGAGGCCAGCCTGGTCTACAAAGCGAGTTCCAGGAAAGGCGCAAAGCTACACAGAGAAATCCTGTCTCAAAAAAAAAAGAAGAAGAACTAGTGGCTGGCTCTTCTGCTTCTCTGATCTTTCAGCTTTCACCCTGATATCTGGCTCTGGGTTTCTTATTAAAAGACCATCTAAGATTGAACGACACATGTCTATTATCCCAACACTCAGGATGCTGAGGTGGGAAGATCACAAGTGAGAGGCCAGCCTGTAATCACATGGGGAGTCTTTGAACAAAACTAAAGAATCTTTTCTTTTTAAATTTTTATTGTGTACGTGAGGGGTGTGTGTGTGTGTGTGTGTGTGTGTGTGTGTGTGTGTGTGAAGGTGCGTGTGCACACATGAGAGCTCCATGTATATAGGGGGTACATGTGTGGAGTTAGTTCTTTCCTCTACCCTTTACATGGTAGGTGCTGGGAATCAAGCCATCAGGTTTGTCCAAGTAACTACAGGATGAGCCAAATCACAGCTCCAATATACACAATTTACAAATGACTGGTTGTTTCCAACCCCCCCCCCCAGAGCTGAGGACTGCACCCAGGGCCTTGTGCTTGCTAGGCAAGCACTCTACCACTGAGCTAAATCCCCAACCCCAGCTGGCTGTTTCCAAGTGGAGTTCCAACCCCTTTTAGCTTCCGTATAGTTTGAATGTGTTCTCTGTGCTGGTCAGATTTTTTTGTTTTGTTAACTTGACACAAGCTAGAATCACCTGAGCAGAGGAAATCTCAGTTGAGAAAGTACCTCCCTAAGATTGGTCTGCAGGGCCAGGAAGCAGCTCTCCTCCACAGCCTCTGCCTTAATCCTTGCCTCCAGGTTCCTGCCCTGACATCCCTCAGTGACTGAGTGTGGCTTGAAAATTATAACCTGAAACAAATCCTTTCATCTCCAAGTTGCTTTTGGTAAGGGTGTTTCATCACAGCAACAGAAACCTAAGACACCATCCATGTTCACTTGTTGCAAACCTAATTCTGAGAAAGTCCCATTAATGGCATTTGGAGAGAGGGCTTCTGGGGAGTAATCAGAATTAGATGAGATCATGAGGGTGGGCCCTCATGGTGGATGGCCTTAGTGGAAGAGAAATCTGAGGTAGCATGTACCCTCTGCCTGCCGTGGTGATGTTCACCACCATGGTGCAGCTCCCAGAGGTGCAGAACTCATAGACTTCTATGCTTTGATTTAGTTTGTTATTGTTTTTTTTTTTTTTTTGAGATGGGGTGGTCTCTATGTAGCCCAGGCTAGCCTGAAATTTCCCATCCTTCCACCTCTGCCTCCCAGTGCTGGGATTATATATGTGTACCACCATACCCAAAGATATAAACTTCTAATCCAGTTACAGCCAACCTGTGGCCTAGGGGGGGTCACACGTGTCCCAAGATAGCTATGAATTCAGCTCAACACATTTGTAGATGACAGCGTCATGTCAAAAGTTTGGATACCCCTGCATGTTTACAAATTACCCAGACTCTGTTACAGTATACCAACAGAAAAGAGACAAAAAGTCAAGCCTGAAACCTTAGCACTTGGGAGGTAAAGGTAGGAGGACAGCCTGGGCTACATAGAGACGCCATCTCAAAACCACAACAACCCGCCCCCACCTTCTCCATGAGAAAATAAGACTAAGACACCCAGGGAAATAGTCCTTTACAGTTTGACCTGCCTACCCCACCTCCTCCAGCCACCCACGTCCTCCAGGCCTCAGGGGACTTGGCTCACCAGGACCCAACCCTGTGTCCCTCCCGCGCCCTCACACTAAGGCCCAGCTTCAGTGGCATCTGCTGACAAGCCTTCTCCAGAACTACTGACATTTTAGGATAAACCTTTTTTGTCCACAGTGGTTAGGGGCTGCCCTGTGCACCCCTAGTCTCTGTCTACCAGACGCCAATAGCACCCCACTTCCCCAGCTGTGACAACCAAATTGTCTCAGACATGGCTAAAGTCTCCCAGGAGGCAAAAATCATATAAATTAGAGCAACAGCTTATATTAGCTGGCCATTCCTTACTGCTCTACAGTAGAGAATGTTTTGTTCTTATGGCCACTGTGACGTTTGACGTTCCTCACAGAGTCCACAGGGAAGCACACGTGGTTCTTTTTCCACCTTCCAAATACTGATGCCAATCCCTCAGGCAAGGTTTTGATTGCTTCAATCTCAGAATATTCTCAAAGGCCTGTTCCTACCACTCACTTGCTACGTCCAGGAGCCAACGACTCTTTCTCCACCCGTGAAGAAGAAATAGCCCTCACCCAGGAGGGCCTGACTTGCACCAGCTTACTGTAAGAGATGGATAGATGGTAGCTCTTAGCAGGGAATGGTGGTAGCATGCCTGTAATCCCAGATCTTGGGGGTCAAACAGGAGGATCCTGAATT